TAACTTTAAATGAAAGCAGCAATTATAGACTGCCTTCAATATGTGTAGAACACACTCACTTGCAATCTAAACTTATTTACATCATGCATTACATGGTATTACATTTGATCCTAACTTGTCATGTATGAGGGATGTTTAAGGCATAATAAAAAAAAAGGGCAAATGCCTGGTATGGGTTGAATTTTCCTTCTGCAAGTCTGGATTAAAAAAAATTTAAACATCCATTGAAGCAAAGTACTGCTGAGTTCAAATTTGTAATAGTTTATTTATTTGCAGTAATTTGAGCAGGTGCCAGCGTCCCTGCACAACACAGACATGCAATAATATATTTAACAGGCCGTGGTCACACCCTGGGCCCTGGGCCCTGGGCAGACGTCACCTCACACCCCGTCTGGTGCGAAATAAAACCTCTGATCCAACATTTAACAGGATATACTAACCACTGCAGGCCTGAAGCTTGAGGCCTGGATGTCAGTCACCTTAGAGTGAAATTACACCTCATTTTCATCTTGAATTTTGCTGTCAAACGTCAGACGGATAAGCGTGACAATATAATTACCACTCTTTCTGCAGAGATGTCGTGCAAGAGCATAACACAGGCAGCATTTTTACAGTCACACGCAGAACAGGTCAGATGGGAGTTCAAAGTTAACATGCAATAACAGTTTACTGTATCTGGAAGCACTGACAGACACCGACTTTTTAAAGGGAAGGGCAAATATGAAAGGACGCAGCTAGAGGTGACTAGAGGTGAGAGATTAGCACTCCCGCTCCACAGGTGCCTCTCTGGTGTGATATGTAGTCCCAGCATTCATAGTGATCATGACCGATTCATCTGTGACCTGGCTGCAGCTGTTCTCTGGCAAAGGTACTACTGCTAAGTACTATTTTGTCAGTATCTTGTGGTTCCTTGACAGTCCAGCAGGTGTCCCCAGTTTAATCTTGTTTTCCCCCATTGTCTCATCCTCCTGAATAATCAATTCTTTCTGGTGTATTGTGACAGCGTTGTGTTGCTCTGTGTCATGCCTGTTTAGAGAACTGCAGATAGAAATACTGACTCTGTTGCCTCCATGCATGAAGGTAATAATCTGTCTGCTTATAGACGATAATTGCAAGATGTTATTTTGCAATCCAAACAGCCTGGTCTGAATCTGAAGGTCAAAGTTGTATCTGTCTATAAAACTTATATGCTGACATCTCAAATGAGGATCCCATGTTTCCCAGAGGTTTTATCTATGAAACCTTGTTCCAGTTCCCCCTCTCCTACTGTTGCTCCTTGTCCCTCACTGTTTGATGGTTTCCTGGAGCCCGAGCACATGTTTTTGATGTGTCTGCAAGTTTCAGCAAGTTTCCCCAGAGGTCCCTGCTCAGTGGAGACACGTCAGTCTGCTTTAGTTCTGTTTCAGCAGCTGCACCCTTTCAGATCCTTAATACAGCAGAAGGCCTGGATGTGGCTCCAGGGCTTCATTCTGTTTAACAAGATGTTGCCACTGAGCAAGGTGGTTCATGAAGGCACCTGAGCCTTTACATAGCATTATGGGTGAAGTTTTCAAAAGAGAAAACAGTTATGTTTCTCCTGCACTTCAGTCACACTAATTGAAAAACATTTTTTAATAAACTTTCTTAATAATAACATTATTTTATTATTTTATTTATGTGATTTTATTTCTTGTTTTTATATATTTTTCATCCTTGTCTTTATCGTCACTTCTAAGCAGTGTTTGAGGGTTAAGACTTGGTCTTAGTTCAACAGTGTCCCCACACACTTATCTAGTTCCTTATATATCAGGTCATTTTCCTCCCTTATCTCTTCCGCAAAGGTGAGATTAAACCTAAAAGCCAGTGTTTTCTATTTTTGTGTCTGTGTCACTCAGCCCCAATGCAACAAGAAATGACTAGCAGTCATTAAGTTGCATTTGTTATGGTCTTCAGTGGTGGACTAATCCATATTTGGTGCTCTAGTGAGTACTCTGGTGACAGTGTAGTGTGTGGGATACATTCAAGATTGAGGACTCACGGGTTGTGTTGGCTGTACGTAATGTAAAGACTATTCATTTCTTCATCGTTTAATCTTTAGATCATTTTCCCAACTGCTGGTTTGCTCTGCAAAACACAAGGGATCATCTGATAGTGTCTGTCCTAAAGTACAAGGTGGTGTCATCATTTAACCAGTCCAGAACCCAAACACAGTAGATTCATACATTAAATGAATGCTCAAATTTCCTCACATTATAGACCATGGAATGAAAAGTTTAATGATTCTTTCTCAAAGTAGTTCATCGACTAAATAATTGTGCTAAAAATCTGAATGCAAAAATATGATAAATTTGAGTTTGTTCACAATCGAACAGTTAAAAACCAATTGGGCTTTAGAATACGCTTAGCACTTTAATCTTTAGAAGCAGAACAATCTCAATCTACAGTAAAACTGCTCTCTGGTCAGCGTAAATCTAGCGTAAGTCCACAACCCAAACAGTAAAAAAAATGAACATTTGGGGGTTTATCATCTTATGACTGACATATTTCTCGACAAGATGTCTCAAGGTATCTCACCTTGCCATTTCAGTGATTATATTTTCACAGGAAATTATATCAGAGATCATACCCCTGCTGGTTCAACATTTTTGTTTCAGTCTTCCATTTCTGATGTATAATGATCAAGGAAACGACACAGTGATAAGAAGTGTGGCAGATTACTCAGAAATGTTGATAGAGAAGAGGAGTGCACTTGTCCAGCTGAGGAAGTCTCACTAAGTGCTTATTTCCAACGTCAATACCTTTTTATATGCAATCCTGTTTACATTTTACATGTCCTGTTTACATAAC